TTCTGAAGCCCTATAAATACAAGCCTAGGGCCTCCTTTCAGCGGGGCGGAGTTATTATCAAGACGTGGAGGTGCTGCTGGATTGAGGAGTCAAGGAGCACGAATTTCAGCGAAGGCAAATCAGATCCCGGCGAACTTCGGCATAAAGAAGGAGCTATTCGAAGGATCTGAACCCTGTTCGTCCGTCCCTTGAGATTATGCTTGGTCTTAATCTCGAGAAGAGCCCTGATTTTGCTTGGTCGATTTCAGCGCTTCAAAACAAATACTTCCTCGGCGAAGGCGAAGCTCTGCCGAATTTTTCATCAACCGGATCCAGATCTAAGGCGGTCCACGGATAAACCCCGGCACAGGCAAAGATCCCACGCAAGCAGAAGACCGATAAATGATCTCTGCGTTTGTTTTGACGAGAGTTGTAACTTTTTATTTTCATTGTGTAAAAGTCTTATAAAAAGACAATCTTTTTGTTTTTATTGTAACGACTAAAGTTGTAATGAATACCGCAATGAATACAACAATTTTCGACGCAAACAATAATGTCTTCAAACCTTGCATTTTATGTATTGAATAAAGTACAAAATTCTTCTCATTGATCTAAAATTTGGACTCACTAGTTGAATTCTGTACTATAACATACAGTAGTGTGCACCATGTGCAAAGCACGACCTATATTTTTTATTTCTGCTATAGTAATTTTGTATTTAAATACAGTTTTTGTAAGTGTTATAATTACATTTTTAAATGTCATAGTATCCGCTTGAGCTACAGTAATAATGCTACAGTAATGTTTTTAAACGCTACATTTCCGCTTGTGCTATAGTAATTTAATGTATCATTTACTGTAGCAAAAATAGTGAATCTTGGATCCTCCCATTATTATAGAGGAATAGATGACATAGGTCTTTATGTCACATGGAAAAGTCATCCAATTTTTTAACTTTATTTATGTTTGATTTTGTATAGGAAAAAATGTCTCTAGCCCCAAAAAGTATACAGAACGTGCCCCCTCAAGACTTTTTAACGGGCGCTTTGCCCCCAAAAAGCAACGCGATTTTTTCCTAGCCTCCAAAACAAGCCCCAACGTGAAACACCGGTTAAAACTCACACGAACTGCCCAAAATACCCTTCGATTTTAACCGCCTCTCGTTAACCTATAATGACCTCATTGTTCGTACCATTTTATCTCTCTTCTGTCCAAGCGAACCGTCTCCATCAACCCATTTCAAAACCCTAGCCCTAAATCAACCGACTCCCAAACACACCGACTCCAAAGCACGGGGATAAAAAATGGTCGACGATTCAACCTCTAAATTTTGCCTCCATGCTGACTACAGCGTAGACGAAGACGCGTCGTAGTTCGTCGTCTCGAAAAGAGCCCAGACAACAGCAGAGTGGACTGATGCTAGAGCTACGATTGATAATGTTCTAGAGGACATTGTAGCCAGCCACTCTCGTCCCAGAAGTCTAGCTCAAACGGAAAGTCCAGTCCCCTGTCCAGATCTAGAGGGAAGCACCGGCGCCACCGACGATGCCACTAGAGTGCTCCTTGATCTACAGAGAGGAGATAAAGAGAAGCTTATGGCAACAAAAAAAATGATTTTTACCACAAATTTTATGTTGTTTATCATGTTGCATGATGTGTTAATTGTGAAGGATACTTATAAGTTGTGAAGGTTAGCATGTAGTTGTCAAAGAAATTCATTCATTGTTAGGGTTATGAATTTTTTTTGTCAATGTTATTGCTCTGTTGTGAAGGTTACTGTTTAGTTATTAAGGTTTTACTTGATAAGGTTCGGAGTCTGTTGTGAAGGTTACTATTTACGGGCATTAGTTGTTGAGGTTACTGTTAACCTGTAAAGCTTATGCTTTTATTGTTAAGCTTATTGATTGGTTGTTGAGGTTAGGCTTTGGTTGTTAGGGTTACTGGTTTGTTATTAAGGTTACAGTTGCTTTGTCAAGTTTACATCATAGTTGTTATGTTTACTGATTATTTTTAAACTATTTATGTATTGTGGTTTTGCTTTGTAGACAAAGGGCAAAGTCCACTTGTACGCTGCGGCCCACATCCAGCTTCAGTGCCTATTATTTTCATGCACACTTTGGTGCAGTGTATAGAGCTAAGGCACTGGGAGGCCTACAAAGATAGTGTATTCCCTCCTGGTCTTGATCTTCCCACTTTTGAGTACATTTTGAGATAGTGAGACGAGAAAAAGATGAAATTCGTCTTCACCGATACAAAATCTAGAAAAGAAACAGCATGCTCATTTAACCTTGAGTGGGTAATGAGCCATACGTCGTTCTGCAATGAGGGGGATCTTGTTGACCACAACCAAGACAAGAAGAACATGATTTGGTCCAAGTTTTTTAACAAACCTGAGGGTGACAGTAGTACAACTCATCCTCCAGCCCCCACCAGATGCAATGTTAAGGATTTGCTCATGAAGCTGGTACAATCAACTGATCGCCGAGATTGTAGGCACTAAAAAATATCAAGGAATTAAGAAAGGTTGAACCTCGCTACAAGCATGACAAGGCTCGTCATCATGACGAACCTCATCTCAGCCAACAAAGCCCATCAATAGAGTCGAAGTTTGTCATTTAAAACGAAGTTCGCTTAGAGACAAAAATTCTCTAGAAGATGAAGCTCATCCAAGAGACGAAGTCCATCTGCAGACGAACCTCGTCAAACAATGCTTCACCCCTCAGAAGATGAAGTTCGTCCAGAAACGAAGTTCATCATTAAAGATGAAGTTCGCCATTGTCATTATTGACGAACCTCGTGCATAGCCGAACCTCGTCTGTCATAATTTTTAGAGGCTACATTTAAGGATGGTTAATGACCAATAACTCACTCATTTAAGGAGAGTTAATGATCACTAACTCACTCATTTAAGTGGTAGTTAATGACCACTAACTCCCTCATTATAATGGGAGTTAAAGCCCATTAACTCACTCTATAATGGTCCTTAAGCCTATAAATATGCAAGATCAACATGAAAGGGGGGGGGGGGGATTGAGAGGCTAGTCAAAAGCCATATCTCTCTTTCACTCTCATTGATCTTCATAGATCATTATCATCGGCTAATCATTTAGCCTTGTGGGCACTAAAATTGCCAAGAAGCAGGCGAGGGTCGCAACTCATTATAATGAACCTCGTTGGCCAAGACGAACATCGAAGTTTAGTTGAAATCCAGAAAGGCGAGGCTCGACAAGACAACGAAGCTCCGGCTCGACAAGGCAACGAAGCCGATTAACACCGCCTTTCGAGTCGACATAGGGGGTCGTCTCATCTCGAACTTCGAGCCGATGATCACCGCCTTTCGAGTCGACACAGGGGGTCGTCTCGTCTCAGACTTTGAGTCAATCATCATCGCGTTTCGAGTCAACATGGAGGAGGTCTCGTCTCGGACTTCGAATAAATCATCACCGCCTTTTGAATCGGTATGGTGCATGTCTCGCCTCCGACTTCGAGCCGATGATCATCGTCTCGGATCTCGCTCGGACGGTCTCATTTCGGACTTCGAGTCGCCTATACCGCCTCTCGAGTCGACACGAAAGAGATTTCGTCTCGAGTCTCGTCTCGGACTTCGAGTCGGCTATCCCCGCCTCTCGAGTCGACACTCACCATAGCCCCGTGTATTGCACTCATTCCTAATTTGCACTCAAAGAAAAAATCACAACCACCAACTAGATAATTAATAGTTATGATTATGTAGTGATCCCTCGATTACTTTTTAGATAGTGGAGAGGATCCGAATCCGAGGATAATAACCTCTTGATGCCTTCTGAGATGTGTTACATTAAAAAAAAAAGTTTAACAGTTACCATCTACCCACTTGTGGCTACATTCATTAAAGTAGCATATTGATTTTGTGATTGCGTGATGAATTAGGTCCACCAAAGCAAAAGCCAAGATACCTTGTTATATTCTCTTCACCAATTAAAGTAGAAGCAATGTGACACGCACACCACCATCTTATGAGAACCAGTAGCTCGGAATCAAATTGTATCAATCAATGCTCATCATAAGCCCAACACTGGGATCTGTGGATGTTCTCTACTTTACACTTTCTTTGTAAAGTAAACACGAGCTAATTCATATCCTAACAAATTAAAGAAGCGTTAGTGCTAGAGAAGTTTGAATTGACTACTCATTAATGATGATAGTGGTGTACGGTGTTTTGATTTTGGATTAATTCCTTGTCAACTTTTTCATGTATTTTTAGGTCCCATGCCTTTTGTAAGGCTTATGGGTCTATCTTGGGGAGGGGGATTGAAGTATCAAAATCTTGAACATTCTTGAGGCGTCCAATATTCTTGTGGGTGTCTTGGCTAATCTCCCAACACATCACACTAAAGAGTTCATCATATAAACCTGATCTTTTGTGGAACCCACAGCTTAAGTTTATAAGCAGCAAAGGTTAGAGTTATTATTAGAAGCTAGTGTGCAGCCCGTGCAAAGCATGACCCTCATTTTTTATTTTCGCTACAATAATTCTGGTTTAAATGATTTTTAAGTGCCACAGTAACATTTTTAAGTGCTGCAGTACCAAAAAATGCTACAGTGATAATCATACATTACTCCATTGTATTATTTACTATATCATGAGTAGTAAATCTTTGGATCCTCATGTTATTATAGAGGAATAGATTTCATATGTAAGAGCATATTTTGTTAATTCAATAAATTCATGGATTTTTGCCCATATACCCTGAAAAATATCCTATTTGTATTTTTACGTTCCAAATATACATGTTTGCTAATTTAGCCCTATATTCTTCCACATGGGATTTCCTTTTCTGCATATAAATCTATAAGGTTTTTGACGATGACAACTTATTGTGTAATAAATAGTCAATTTATTTATTATTTTTTTGATTTGCAAAATTAAATTATTTTCTATCACAAAGGATGATGGATCCAAAAATGAAAATGAACTCATGCTCCCAAATTGCGAAAGCTTCCTAAACACTCAAACAACTCCTTAATAAGCATCACTATAATGAGAAAAAAAGACCGGCCAATTAAATAATTTAAGAAATTTCAGTTGCATTACTAGTAATTTCATCCCCATCTTTGTTTACAATGATCTCTTTAGAGAAAATTTGAGAATGTTTTGGCTCAGATATATCTTCTACCTTCACGTCTTGTGTACGTAGCTCCTTTTCTTTACCCCACAGAAAAGCATGGAGCCCTCCAATTATCATGAACATACCAATTAAGCTGCATCAAAATTATAAAGTTATAATTAGTGAATATTAATCAAATAAATGTTTAATAAACATAAATTTTTTTAAAATATATTAATTTTAATTAGTTTGATACTAACTTTCCAACTGTGATATCTTGTCCCATAAAGACTGATTCCAAGATGGTGGTAAAAACTACCGATAGAGAATTAAACATCGGAGGATAAATGGGACCCTTTTTCGAGATGACCCATGAGGCTAAGCAAAACATGGCACCAGTGCTGAACACACCCTGCAAGTCAAGAAAAAAAATGAAAAATAAAAAAAATAAAAATAGTAACAAATTCATATTTTATATCATATCATACTCCCTTTAAAAGCACAAGTTCGGAAAAATCTTTCGGTAGACAAAAGTATCATTCCATCACGTAATAGTAAGTTGATAAATTGATGAATTCTTATTGGATATGCATAGTATGAAGATAATGATATAGTTTAAATTGAAATGTAAACCTTAATAAAATTATTGAATATTAAATTTACAAATGTATACAAGATGAAGGACGTATATGCAAAAACCAAATAAATTAATGAGATAAATAATGTTTACCCCAAAGGTCGAACACAGAAATAGCACAGACCTACAAATGTACATAGTGTGGACAGGATATTTGCAAAATCCACCAAACAAATTAAAGAGAAAAAAGTTGTTCTCAAAATTATAAAAAAAAATTTAAAACAAACGGCTACGATCTAAGGACACAACGTGACGATCTATCACCGACTAAAATTCAAGTAGTTTATAATACTGCATAATTAGTTTTAAAGTTTAATTATACTATTATTATTTAAATAGAACTCTATTTACAATGTTATCTTTTCACATGTAACATCGCATACCAATATATATGAGCCAAGAATTTACAATAATTTTTATAGAACTTTCATCCCCTTCTATATGTGTATGCCTTTGTTAGTTTCTTCTTATTAAATTAAATTAGATTGTTTAAATATTATGAATTATGAAATAACAATAATTTTCACAACACTTTCATCTATTTTCTTCTTATTATATTAGAATAATTATTTTAAAGCAATTAACTATATATATGTTTGATCTTTTTTTAGATCAGAAATTACAATAATTTTCCATAGCACTTTCATCTTCTTCAACAGGTATGTGCATTTGTTATTTTCTTCTTATTAGATAATATTAGATTGTTTATAAATTACGAATTATGAAATTGCAAAAAATTTCACATCACCTTTATCTATTTTTTTCTTATTAGATTATTTTAAAACAATTAATTATATTGTATATTTGATCTTTCTTTTCAGATCACAAAGTTTAATTATACTATTATTATTTAAATAGATATTGTTTGTATAAAAATCAAAGAGAATCTCACACGTATCGTAGATCTTAATGCCAATTATAATACTTACATATGGGTGTTGGTTAAAATAAATTTTATGTATAGGCTTAACTTATATGATCCTACTTTAATCGGATTAGATAATTTAATTTTTTTTACATCCAAACTCTTCCACAAAACCAAAAGAGAGTAGCGATACTATAGCTATATATATCCACAGGACCATAGATATCTCAAAAATGAACAAAGAAAACCACACAAACAAAAACCATATTAATTACCACCAGACATCACTATTTTCAAAACCACCATTCTCCATCTTCATTTATAATATATCCACATACCCAAATTAAGCTGCTGGAGTTTTTTCCTCCCAAACTACACCATTGATCAACTCTCTTTTTTCCTTTGTACTTAAATTGTATAACATTCATTGCGATGAGGACTCACTTGGGTCCTCTGCCTGTCTTGAACACCCAATAAAAATAATAATGTACTAGGTCTTTGTAGTTAGTTAATAATGAGATATTGTCATTATAAATAAATTAAGTAAAAATTAATAATTCTTAAGCATGTATTACGTTCCCTTATCTTCCATTGCAAACTTGTTAGTGTTTTAACCCCCAATAAATTTTCAAAATTAAGCTTGATAGTTGCTTGATTTAAAAAAGTTATGTTAGAGGGCTCAAATAGTCTGTTTTATAGTTTAAGACTATCAACACATTTTGTCTATGATGCATATCAATTATGAGTAACAATATAATTTGATTGATCCAAGTATATCCTAATATATTTCTAGACTATTGTCTTGTCTTTTACTCTTTATTATATACCAACATGATATCACAATTAATGTAGATGATGAAGGCACTACTGTAGAATTGCATAGGAAAAAGATAAAGGTGGAGAAGGATTAATCTTTTCTCAATTAAATATGAATAAAGAATGAATAAAGGATAATATTTTTTGAATATTTTATAGTAAAAATTTAATTTTTGAGTAAAATTAGGAACATTTATATTTTCATGCAAATTTTTAATACGTTTATGTGAATGATTTTTTCATGTAAAATTATACTAGAGTCACAATTATTCTTTAGTATTTATTTTATTTATTTTAAGTTTATCAATAATTAAGATGTCTTCCAGTCTTGTGAAAAGTATGTGCTCTGTGTTGAGCTTATACAAGCCATTTTAATATTAAGTATTTGGTTAATTTTTTATGAACACATCAACAATATATTATTGTATTTTTTTAAACTTAACACTATATTTAATGTCTAGGATAAAGAAATTGGACATCGATGATTTAATATGATAAACAAATATGTTACATGAAGTTTGATATATACAAATTTAAAAAAATAATATTGTGTATGCAAGTATATAAAAGTATATTGATCCCAGTTTTACACACAAATCTATTTCATAATTTTTTAAAATGTTTAAATAAAATTTATGGTAAAAGCAATAATCCATGTTTAAAGATTTTAATTCAAAATGAATCTGAGTTATTTTATAGTAAGAAAATAAATAAATAAATAAAATTTGATATCTAACCACGTGCATTGCACGTGCACAAGAACTAGTTTTCTTTAAAAGTATGGGTTTGGAAATATCTTTCTATGGTTAATATTACCCTTCACTATTTTAAACATTTTATTTAAATGTTAATCTATTCAAATCATAATTATTTCCTATCATATTCCTATGTGAACTAACTACAGCTCAACAATTTAAAAAATAAGTTTAAAATTACACAAAATATCCTCAAAATTTAAAATTACACAAAACATATTGATGTTTTAAAACTTAAAATAATAAATATGGAATCTATAAATTAATAGCAGCCTCTAAAAATCAACAATTAACACCCTCAATGTTTCAAAAATTATAGAAACACCCTTAAAATTTTAAATAATAAAAAACCACCCTGAATTTTGAAATTTCAAACCTTACAAACAACAAAAAATGAATTCAAAAGATTACCATCAGGCACCTGAAATTTTAAAATTCGTATAAAAAATAACCTTAAAGTTTTAAAAATTACAAAAAAACTCCTTCAAAAGTTAAAAATCAGGAAAAACCCCTAAGATTTCAATACCTATGATCAATACATATCAAATGTAGAAATTATCAGCAGACCGTTAAAAATTTAAATTTCATAAAAAACAATCCAAAATTTTAATAATTTCAATAACACCCTCAAAATTTTGGAGTTACAATAAATATCTTGATAATATGCAACTTACCACCAACACAAAAACATGAAAATTATAAGAACCCAACTTAAAATTTTTAAAAAAACACTATCAAAATTTTAAAATTTGCAAAACACACTCGCAAATTTTCAAAATAAAAAAAGACTAAATTTTTAAGACTTCAAAAAGAAAAAAGTATATGTTTAATGTTCTTTTATTAAGATAAATAAATTTAACTTCTAATTTATGGTTTACTATCCCTTTTTAGCATTTAAATCTAGTCTAATTTTATTAAATAATGTAAAGGTAGAGAAGGATAAATGTCGGCTCAACATAAAATAAAACAGAAGGAATGAAAGACACTATTTTTTTAATATTTTATAAGATAGTTTATTTTATAAGTAAATTAGGAATATTTAGAAGAGATTTTCATAAAATTTTTTTAGTACTTGCATGTATATGCTTATGTTGGATGCTTTCATTATATAAAAGTGTACTAGAGTTAGCATTAATCTTTAATTTATGATTTAAAAAAAAGTCTATTAAGGATTAGAATCAAACTTCATATTCTCTTTTGTGTCGTTTTAACCCACTTTTAATCAGTCATCTTGTCTAATTAGCTTTAATTATTTATCTTACTTTTATATTGTTATTTTAATTGTTTTTCATTTTTGCAATACTATAATTTCTCAGGTCACACTTGATTTCATGTTGGTCCAAAAAATATGATAATTCAAATTGGCTTTGGATTGTATTTGTTTTCTACCAATTCAATAGATAAGAAAATTTAATTGGTTGTAGCTCATTTAAACAAATATCAAAGAAACTATATAATCACAATGCTGAAGTTTAGAGACATGAGTGAGCAAAAATCATTAAAGTGTAATAAAGAAATAAATTTTAGTAATGAAATAAGCCAAAAATACTTAATCATGATATTTAACCACATGCATTTCACGTGCATAAAACCTGGTATATAAAAATACAATGACTATTTCTCTGAGCAAAAGAGAACTAATAAAACTTACTTATGACTAAACCCGCATCACAACCAAACCAAACACATGAAACAATAAAAAATATTGTGATTACTAAATGTCAAGCTCAAGATATATACAAATTAATTGATAAAGGGAAACTTTCCTTTTTACTGGAAAAGATTAAAAAAAGAGCTCAGGATTAATTAGGAACACTCTCCTATTGCTAATACCATTAGTACAAAATTTATGAGTTACTGAGGAAAGTGGGTATGCAGTGTGCGTACAACATATATTTATTGAAGTATGAAAGAAATTTAATTGTCTTGAGGAAACTTATATTGACAAGAAACACATTTTAGTACTAGGAATTAATATATGTTCAAATAAATACGTATAAAAAACTATTGAGAGAGATTACAGATCTTAGTATCTTACCATGCATACTATCGTCAACAGTTGCAAATCCCATTTTAATTTCCAAGCATCCATATTTCTGTTAATTACGATTCCTACTATGAATGTTTGGAAACATCCTGCTACACAAGTTAACGTTGTTGCCCAGTACTTCGATGGGAATACTTTATACAATTTCACCTGTTGAAATGATATATATATATATATTAAAAAAAAAATCTAACTACATTCAGGTGAAGGAGTCACAATGATATTCAGTCCAAGAGATATTAGTTTAAATATACTCACTTGTAAATTATAAACAGTATATTTAAAGTAGCTCAATTCTCAGTAATATGGCTTGTCAAAGGAAAGATATACAGGGAGCACACTTGAAGAAGACAATATTGGGCCTGCTAAACTGATCATATGATAGGATCCAGATTTAATTTGGTTTAGATCCTAACATCATATCTGATAGTTTATTGGGTTTAGAATTGGATATATAATTAAGGATCCAAGATTGCTACTAAATTTTGATAAGAACTTATGTAGAATATTAGTTTTACTTTTATTAAATCACTTTCTTTGCCTAAACAAGTATTATATTTCATGGGCTAGCTGGTATTCTTAATCTGATAGTTTATTGGGTTTAGGTATGGATGATTAAGGATCCGTGACTGCTAATTTGTTAAGTACTTGTATAGATTGTGAACTCGTGGGAATTAGTGGGGGCCACATGCCACACCCACGTGAGTTGAGCGGGAAGCAATACGCGGGGGAGAGTGCGGAAGCGCAGGCCTAGGCCCAGTTTCGGTTTTGGCCTGGTTTTTTCTCCTATAAATAAGTTTATGCTCCTAGGTCTTTCCGTGAGCAGGAGGTTTTGTTTGAGACTACGGCAAAGAAAAAAAAAGGCGCAGGCAGAGAGATTAATTCTTCGTGTGCGGCTGTGTAAGGAGAAAAACTGCAGCGGCTTTTGTTAGAGTTTTACATCCTTTTGAGAGAGATAATTGTGTGAGAGGTTTGAGAGAATGTGTGAGGGTTTAGATTGAGTGATTGTAAACCCTAATTATATTCTCTCCTCTCTAATAGTAGATCTCCCCCCTCCTTGCCCCGTGGATGTAGGCAATTTGCCGAACCACGTAAAATCGTTTATTTTGTGTTTGTGGCCATTGTAATAGTTTATTAGGATCCCTCGACAAGTCAGTCCTAGAACTGAGAAGAGGAAGAGCCGATATCTCACTTTGTTGAGATATTCGCTTCAGATTCTTATTTTCTTGGTGAGACGGGAATTCTTATTGGATCTTTCTTTCTTATCGTGTACCAGAAACTCTACCGAAATTTCCGCTGCGCATAACAAGTGGTATCAGAGCTCGGGCTACGCTTGGGCTATTTGGAGAAGTAGATCAATTTAAAAGCTCGTCTAGAGCTTTGTTTGGTGATAAATGTGGGATCTTTTGGTAAAAACTCTATCTTTTTAGTTTTGGATCTATTCTTTGTTCGTTGGTGCGTTGAGAAAGATGTCGGGGAAAGAAGGTGCTTCGGGTGTCGAGGGTGGTGCTTCTGGCGTGAAGACTATTCAGAGTATGAATATCCACTCTATGAAGATAGATGTGAAGAAATTTAATGGCACAAACAACTTTGGATTATGGAGATGCGAGGTTTTGGATGCGCTGAACGCGCAGAATTTGGAGGATACATTGGAGTTAGATGGCAAGCCAGATGAGATTGAAGAGAAAGTTTGGAAGAAGATGAATCGAACGGCGTGTGGTATGATTAGATCTTGTTTGACTCAAGATCTAAAATATGATGTGATGAATGAGACTTCTGCGAAGAAGATTTGGGAGATTCTCGAAAGCAAGTATCTAACAAAGAGTGTTGAGAACCGCTTGCATTTGAAGAGGAGACTTTATCATTTCCAGTTGATGAAGGAAACCTCAATTAGTGATCACATGAACACCTACACAAATCTTCTTACGGATTTGGCAAATGTGAATGTTAAGATTGAAGATGAGGACAAGGCGTTGCTATTGTTAAGTTCCTTACCTGATAAGGAATATGAGACCTTTGTTCTTACCCTAATTAATGAGAAGGCATCCCTTTCATATAGTAAGGTGACTGTTGTACTTGTGAACTATCAGCTTCGAAAGAAGGATAAGAAGGCTTCAATTGAGCCGGTAGTAGAGGCGTTGGCCGCAAGAGGGAAGAATCCGAACCGGAAGAATTGGAAGTCACAGTCTAGAGTAGGGCATCCTACAATTAGAAAAGATCACTATAATTGGTGCAAGGAGACTGGTCATTAGAAGAAAGACTGCCCAAAGCTCGACGGATGGATGAAGAATAAGCAGAAGAGAAAAGGAAAGCAACCATCATTAGAAGCAAACATCATTATATCGGATGGTAATATTTCTGACTCTTCTATTTATTCGCTTTCCATCAGTCCTACAGATAGCTATTCGGAGGAATCTGAATAGATGTTGGATAGTGGTGCGACCTATCATGTGTGCCCTAGAAGGGAATGGTTCTTCAGTTTTGAGAAGCTGAATAGTGGTGTGGTGTACATGGCTGATAACCGTGCATGTCAGATCCTTTGGATAGGAAGAATTCGCATCAAAATGCTTGGCGGGACTGTTAGGGAGTTAAATGATGTGAGATATGTTCCTTCTTTGAGGAAGAACTTGATCTCGAGCTTTGGTTAGAGATGATCTGAATGTTCGAATTGAGGACATTGTTCTCAAGATTATGGAAGACTCTAAAATAGTGATGAAAGGCGTCAGGAGGAATAACTTGTATTATTGACTGGAAGTATAGTGGCAGGTGGAGAATTGGCGACTTCTATTGATTCGACTAGACTGCGGCATTTAGGGCTTGGCCATTCCAGTATTGATTCCTTGCATAGATTGAAAGAGGGTGTGAAGACCTACAGTTTGAAGTCCAGTGAACATGTTAATGTGAGCAAGAAGACCGAGGTAAAGTTTGGCACCTCTATTCACCGTGCTAAGGGTCGTTCTGGAGGAGTTCACATGGATGTTTGGTGGCCTTTCAAGGGGGCATCATTGGGAGGTAAAAGACATTTGGTTTCCTTTATTGGTGGTTGTTCTAGACGTATTTGGGTTGCAACCAAATCCCCATTGGAGAAAGTCCTAGTAGACTCTAACAGTTTGAAGAAGTGTAAGATGGACAGAAAGGTGAATGTACTTCATTCTGATTTTGTTGGGAGGTACAAGATGGACCTATTTCTGTATTGGAGCCGAGCTCACGGTATTTCGAGACACTTCGTTGGAAAAGAAATCTTGGGGCAACGAGATAGGATGGCAAATTTGGAGAACCGTGCCTTGCTGGAGCAGGATCGGTGTTTGTTGTCAAGCAATGGTCTGCAGAAGAGTTTATGGACTGAGACTTTGATATATTTGGGTCATCCTATTAAAGAGTTGTCAACTGCTGTGATAAGAAGTAAAACTCAATTGGGTGTTTGGTCTGGTAGTGTCACTTCGGTTGAGGCTTCGATGATGGAGCTATTTGACTCTCAGCAGGTGGAGAGTTTTGGACAGACCTTAGAGGTATCGCAGCGGGTGAAGTATGATGCTACTCCATATTGGGTGAAGATTACTCCAGATCATACTATATTGTTTGGGATTCCAGCTGAGGTGATACGGCTTAGGGATCATTTGGATTTGGGTGCAGATGATGAGTTGGGTTTTGATTCGAGTGCACCTGATAGATGCAGTTTGGATATGACCATTGGTTCACCTCAGGTGGAGGTGTTTGAGGCCATTGGATGTGCTATCAGCCATAGAGTTGATGATATTGGAGAAGGGTTGCAAACTCTTCTAGTGGATTGAGGCATTTGGAAGCCATTTGGATGAACTACGTAAGGCTTGATTTCTTAGGCAAGAGGATACGTAGACAGTCTTTACGATGTAGCCGGTTGGATTAGTTGATGGGGGTGAGATTGTTTGGACTCTCGTTTGGGTTCCCGACTTGTTATGGATTGAGTCCGTTGTCGTGAATTAACTTCACGGCGTACTGGACACAACAAGTGGGACATTTGGATGCTCTAGTGTCGGCTCAGTTTTAGAAGAAACTTTATCGAGGTGGAGAATTGTGAACTCGTGGGAATTAGTGGGGGCCACACCCATGTGAGTTGAGCGGGAAGCAATACGCGGGGGAGAGTGCGGAAGCGCAGGCCCAGGCCCAGTTTCAGTTTTGGCCTAGTTTTTTCTCTTATAAATAAGTTTATGCTCCTAGGTCTTTCGGTGAGCATGAGGTTTTGTTTGAGGCTGCGGCAAATAAAAAAAAGGCGCATGCAGAGAAAAGTAGCAGACGCAGACAGAGAGATTAATTTTTCGTGTGCGGCTGTGTAAGGAGAAAAACTACAGCGGCTTTTGTTAGAGTTTTACATCCTTTTGAGAGAGATAATTGTGTGAGATGTTTGAGAGAATGTGTGAGGGTTTAGATTGAGTGATTATAAATCCTAGTTATATTCTCTCCTCTCTAATAGTAGATCCCCCCCCCCCCCTCCTTGACCCGTGGATGTAGGCAATTTGCTAAACCACGTAAAATCGTTTGTTTTGTGTTTATGGTCATTGTAATAGTTTATTAGGATCCCTCAACAAGTCAGTCCTAGAACTGATGAGAGGAAGAGCCGATATCTCACTTTGTTAAGATATTCGCTTCAGATTCTTGTTTTCTTGGTGAGACGAGAATTCTTATTTGGATCTTTCTTTCTTATCGTGCACCAGAAACTCTGCCGAAATTTTCGCTGCGCACAACATAGATTAGTTACTTACTTCAAATTAAGTAAATCACTTTCTCTACTAAACAATAATTGTTCATAATTAAACATGATTGTTATTGCTTAAAGTAGAAAATCAAAATAATACTAGAATAGAGAATAATCTCAACTTAATTTCTAGTTGATTCTTTATATATATTTCAGGTTTTTTTTGTGATCATTCATACCGCGATTTATGAACTAAAGAAAGATTCTGTTATATTTTAAAGGCAAAAATACCAAATTGGTATATTTTACTTACCCTTAGTGACAGTTTGGTATATATATTTTTTCGGCGATATATTGGTATATTATTTTTTCTCCGGCGGTAAATGAGCCTCAAATTTGGCCGGACCCAAATTTCCGATGAAATTTCTCATGTGACGCCTCACATGGTGCGAACGTGGCTGCCAGCGTGGCTTCCGACGTCATAAATCAGCTCCAATCCGAAACCCTAACCTCTCAATCTCCTTCCTCCTCCACCTCTCTCTCTCCTCCCTCCTCCGCCCCTCTTGCCTCTCCGATGCCTCCGATATGTTCAACCTCTTCAAATCCTCCATCGACTCTCAATGTGGTGAGCTTTAATACCTTAATTTCTAGGTTTTTTTTAGGAAGAAGGGGATGGTTTTGGATGTGATTAGCTGTAATTATTTCTCAATGTGATTAGCTTTAATACCTTATTTCCTCACCTAGAGTTGAAAGTGCGTTGTGATTTGAAATTCACGTGAGAGATTGACACGTTAATTTATACTCCTTCAAGAATTATTGGATTCTCCTCCTGCTTCATCTACAGATGTTTAATTAATACCAAACGACATTATATTTTATGTTTCTTCTTCTTCTTTTCATTTCATTTTATTTTAATTTATTTTATTTATTGTTGTCTTGTGCTTTCTTCTTGTCACTGCCACGTCCCATCCTTGAAAGTTGTACGTTCAAATGAGAGTTAAGGAATGTTCTTGCAATCTATATATGCTTTGCTATTCGATGTTACTTGATGTGGGGTATATAAAGTCAATTATATCCAACGTAAACCAATCATTGTTAGTTTGATGGCTAGCTCGATCATGACACCAGTTTGCAATTATAATATGCACGCATTCTATCAAATTGTTCACAGCCAAGAACTCATCCAAGATCTTTGCGTGTGCATGTCAGTTGCATATCACGTTCAAATAACTTTTTACATCTTGTGGTTGGTGCCAACTCTTGTACATGTAAATGTCCATTAATTTTATACATGTGGAAGAAGCCTTTTCCAATAATTAATTAAGTTCGTCATGATGAAATCAATGAACTATATATATCATTTAAATCTTGCATCCTTGCATGAAAGAAATAGATCCCCCCCCCCCCCCCCCCCCCCCTCCCCCAAAAAAAAAAAAAAAACAAAAAAAAACATCAACAAGTGGAAATATACATACCTGGAAAATGAACCAACAAGCATAGCTAGTGCAACTCCCCAACAACAATAAAGTCCCCCGTAACATGTTGTGCACTTGAGCTGACTCCTCTGCTGATTCTTGGTGTATTATCATGTGAGAAGGCCAAATGTGCAATACTTTACCTTTGTAGAGACTAACAATCATCGCTCCTCCCACACAAAGAACAGTACCTATGACCTTGACTCTTCCTCCTTTGCTGTCCAACCCTAACTTCTCTATTCTGCACATATAAGCAACATGTACATAATTAGCTAGACTCAAACTATATGTAGATGACACATATATATATGTGAGTAAACAGGCAATGGTGCGTCCCTTCGCAGTGTTGGAGGTGTATTAATTATTGACAATTCATCACAAATCTAGATTTTAGATCGTCAACATGTCTTGAACGTAGCTGACGACCTCAATGTGCGCAGGTCATGACCAGCACAACTGAACCCCTTCCCCCCCCCCCCCCCCCCCCCCCCCAAAAAAAAAAAAAAACAAAAAAAAAAACAAAAAAAAAACAAAAAAAAAACAAACAAACAATACAAATACATACACTTAAGGGGGGAAAATATGCATAAACTAGCATTCCATTTTTCTAAATGAGCAGCCATAAGATAAGATAGTGTTACGTACGACAATTCTGTTAGTCATATCCGAAGTGTGAGTCTTACAAACTTCTTGGCAGAGATCATTTACAATCTATATTCAACAGCCATACACCCAGAACACACACACATAGTTTTTAAAATTTACGCACCTGACAACAACGGCAAAGAAAAAGGTTAAAATCGGTATGAGATTCAAGAAGTTTGATGAGTATCCTGCCATCGTATCTCTAAGGCCATAGAAATACATGCCCATTGCCAATGAGATCCTGAAGCATAGCGCAGAACAGTGAGAAAATGCATGCCATGCAAATGTAAATATACAGAATATATATGAGAATTGCACATTAACAGATTAGGGGCTAGTTTGTAATCATGTGATATATTTTTAAGGTTTTCCATAAGATAAAAAAAATGAATATGCGCTACAATGTTAATTTCTGCAAAATCATTATGTTTTTTGTTCATTGTTCATCAATGAAGGTAAGATCAGCTCTCATCCTTCCTATAATCTGGAAATGTGATTGTAAATGTTTTTTTTTTTTGGTCAATGAAGAATTATATTCATTTACCAAATGGAAAGTATTTGTACATCAGATATTCAGTATATGAACTGAAAAATCAATTACGAAAACAACTAAAAAGAATAAAACAAAAAACTGCTAAAGAATTTACAGTTGATTAAAGTGATATTAGCCATTCTTTTTGCCCCACTGGATATGAACCATTAAGTATGATGGTCATGATATCAATCTTGATCTCCTTAATGATCTGTTCTATACTCCTGGATTTCGTATCAAACAGTCTGCTGTTGCGTTCCCACCATATCCTGTAGATAGTAGAAGATAATGACATTCTTTTCACCTTTTGCTTAAAACCCCTTCCTCTCAGCCTGCAATTAAACCAATCCAGCAATCGGTTCCATTCACAAGTCTTCCAATCGAATTGAAGCCAATTCATAATCTCATTCCAGACTGCACTAGTGAAGCTGCATTCAAAAAAGAGGTGGTTTCGGGATTCAACAACATTTTCATTGCATAAACAACAGAGGCCAATGGTGATGATTCCTCTTTTGAGCAATCGATCTCTTGTAAGTAGCCTGTTCTGCACTGCAAGCCACATAATGAAACAGTGTTTAGGGTAGCTCATATTTTCCCACACTGTTGTGAACCATGGGACCTTTGTAGCTGCTGGGGAAATTTTTGAATAAAGCTCAGATAGACACACTTTTGAGTTCCTATGACAAGAACTGATAATTTGCTTCAAAGCATCTACACTTCCGTAAATCACAATGGCTTTATCCCTGGCTTTGAGCAGCTGTTTCCATAGCCATGAATCCCCTTTTCTCACTGCAACTTGCCAAATTGATGTATCCTTTAAGTAGTTTCCGTGGATCCATTTTATCCACAATAACTCTTTGTGTGTATGTAAATACCAAATGGTCCTTAATGCAGAGGTTATGCTCCATATGTTTGCAGAAAAAACCCCCAGACCACCATGTTTCCTCTCTTTACAAACTTTATCCCAAGCAACCAGTGGTGATTTAAACACTTGATCTGTTTTACCCCAAAGGAAATCTCTACACAAATCATCAATTTTCTGCAGGACCCTTGCTGGCAGAATATAATTTGAGGTCCAAAAAATTTGGACACCCAGAATAACAGTTTTTATGACATGAAGTCTACCAGCATATGACAAATGTTTCTGTTTCATCCAGATTTGAAATTGATTGGATATTTTCTAGAAAAGAGGAGTGCAGTCCGTGTATGATAATCTCTTGCAAATTAGAGGAACACCAAGATATCTTATAGGGAAGATACCTTCAGGAAAACCCAGGCTTTCATGTATTTGGGCTTTAACAGATTCCTTAACTCCTCCATAGAAAATTGAACATTTTGAGAGATTTGCTTCAAGGCCAGAAGTGATTCCAAAATCTTTGACACACTGATATAATCTTTGGATTGAGTAAAAATCCCCTTTACAGAACAAGAGGAGATCATCAGCAAAGGTGAGATGTGTAATCTTGAGCTGACCACACTTAGGATGAAACTTGAACTTCTTATCATGTTTCAGCATATTCAAATTTCTAGAGAGATAGTCCATGCCTATAATAAACAGATAGGGTGACAGGGGGTCTCCCTGCCTCAACCCTCTTTCCCCTTTGAAGTATCCATGCATAGAGCCATTAAGAGAGATAGAATATTTAGGAGAAGAGATACATGTCATAATCCAGTTAGTAAAAACATTAGGGAAGCCCAATCCTTTCAGCAAGCTCTCCAGGAAATCCTAACTGATTGTATCAAATGCTTTCCTTATATCAATGTTAAGCATAGATCTTGGGGATATCTGTTTTCTTCCATAATTTTTCACAAGCTCATGTGCTAATAGGATATTATTTGAAATTTGCCTACCCTTAACAAAAGCACACTGAGCTTCACTGATGATAGATCCAACAACAGTTTGTAGTCTATTTGCAAGGATTTTTGAAATAAATTTGTATAGACAGTTGCAACATGAAATTGGTCGAAAATCTGCAGGAGTTTGAGGACAGTGTACCTTAGGAATGAGGGAAATAGAGGTAGAATTTATGGCTCCAAGAAGTTTTCCTGTTTTGAAGAATTCTTCAATTGCTGAAATAATATCCTCCCCCACAATTGGCCAAGCAGATTTGTAAAAAGAGGAGCTGTAACCATCAGGTCCTGGGGCCTTATTCTCTGGAATAGAGAACACAGCCAGCTTGAAGGCATGGACCACTCTGGATTATGTTAATGCTTGGCTTAGTGGTTGAAACAGCAGTCCCCATTAGATTCTTGAAGTAAGAGATGAGTTCATCAGCAATATCATCACCTTCAGTGATTTTTTCACCCAAGCTATTATAGAGGATCATAACTCTATTATGGTGTCTGTTTGTCTTTATAACAGAATGAAAGAACTTTGTGCTTCTATCCCCCTGGAGACACCATGCAACTCTTGCTTTTTGTTGATAGAAGGATAATTCACATTCCAAGAGTTTGTTATAAGAGCTAATGCACTCTTTCTCCTGATTAATAAGAGTGGAATTAAGAGGCTCAAGTTGAAGCATATTTTGGACATTCTCAAGCTCAGATTTGGCTCTGAGGACTTTCTCACTGATATTGTAAAAGCTCCTTTTATTAAGATCTTTTAGTGCATTCCTTAGGAGCTTCAGCTTAGTGTGCACTTTGAACATTGTGTATCCTTCAATGGGAGTTTGCCATACTGCTGCAACTGTAGAGAGAAATTTTTCATGCTTGGCCCACATTTGAAAAAACCTAAAAGGTTTTTTACCTTTGACATTATCCTCATATATAGACACCAGGGCAGGAGAGTGGTCAGAGAAAGAAGGGGATAAGAATTCAACATGGCTCGAATTATGATCTAGTAGCCAGGAATCATTTACTAAAGCCCTGTCAAGCCTACTCCATATCCTTGTATTAGAGTCCTGTTTATTGTTCCAAGTAAAGAAACAACCAGAGGTTTTGAGATGTAACAGGTTACAGTCTTCAATAAACTGATTAAAATCTTTAGTATCTGCTTCAGAAAGCATTGAGCCCCCTATCTTCTCCTCATTGCTTAGTATGTCATTGAAATCTCCACATATAAGCCAGGGTGCATTGCCTATGCTGTGGTATATCTGAGATAGTTCTGACCATAGAGATTTCCTGGCTACCATATGATTTGAACCATAGATTGTAGATATGATACAGTTTAATTTTCCATCAGTGGACTTCACAGAACATGTCACTTGCTGATTGTAAATGTTGTGTTTGGGTGGGGGTAAAGAAGACACTACCACATAATTGATCTATTGCAACGGTTAAGACGAAACGGTTTTAACTGTTGCGTTAGATATCTATCGTAACGATTTTCAGGGTCTAATATAACATTTAATATAAAATGTTGTCATAGGTCTAATAATTGTTCCTGGGCTTAATAATTGTTAGTGGCCTTTGGAGAGCTTTAGTAAAGCCCATGGTTTGACCGCACCGCTTAAAGGAAATCTCTCTCTCTCAAATCCCTAAAATCGTCGACATGGCCAAAAAATTCCTCTCCCTAAAATCGCCGTGGCCAAGATCTTCATTATCAGCGATCTCATCACTGAATTCGTCGATGTTTTCATCTTGGATCTCATCTCCAATCTCCTCTCCGATATCATCTTCGAGCTTGTTGTCATTCTAGTCGTCGAGCTACTCTCGTTGGTCTCGTCGCCATTTTCAGTCCTCGCCGGAGTCCATTTACTTTCGTCGCCGTTTTCATCTCGTTGGTTTCATCGTCGAGCTACTCTCATTGTTCCAGAAATCGAGCCCAGATCTCGCTAACGGGAGCTTTCTAGAGTTTGCTCCACCTATCTCTTCTCACGATATTTTGATTTCTCAATTCGCACTACTGCTTTCTGAGTTCAAATTGATTTTCCCGTTAAATTTAGTGATTTCTATCTGAAAATGAAGAGGTCAATTCTCGACCTAAAATTTTCATTTGTTATTGCATTAGATTTCTGCATAAGTATTGTTATATTCGGGATTGCGATTGATATGTTTCTTTAGTGAGTTTGTCCTGTTAATTTGGTAGATTAACAATATTCCTTAAGCAGAAGTAACCGGGGAAAATCAAATTAAATGACATACCAATAAGTAACAAAGAAATAGTAATGGGGCGGGCTGTCTGAATGGCGCACTTTAGCAGGCGAAATTTTCCCTGCTAACGTGCACCTCCGCCTGGTTTTTCAATGGCGAAGAAGAAGAAGAGTAATGGGAAGCGAAGTGGAAAGAGTATAGATAGTAGTGAGCTGAGAGATTCTCTATTTGCTTATCCCTCTTCGTCTAGATCTGTAGCTGATCTCGATGAAACAGTATCTTCTGGTATCATGGAAAGTACTGGCCCTAAAGGAGCAAAGAAGAAGTTGCTGATGAGTGATGTTCTTGCTAGATCTACTCCTCTATCTGATCCGCCTTTGTTGCAAGAGGAAGCTGGCCTTCGTATCAATCGCCAATTAAGTAAGTCTCCTCCTTCAAATTCGTGGGCTGATGAAGTTGATGATTGTGATGAATCAGATCTGATTGAGAATGCCTATTTGAATAAGCAAAATGTGGAAATTTCTCATACAGTTAGGGGAAATGTGGAATCTGTTATTAATCTTGAAGAAGAAGCAATAAGAGGAATATCTAATATAAATGCTGTAAATTCAGATCTGGAAAAATCAAGAACTGGAAATCTTATATCTGGAATGAATGATGAAAATGTGGGAAATAAT